TATATGGTGATATTTTAATTATGCCCAAACGTGATTTTATTTGTAGGTTAATAAATAAAGTTTGCCTGGAGATCAGAGGTCATAGTGAGCCAGGGACAGCAGTCAGGCGGTGGTAGCCCACACCCTTAATCCAATCACATGGCAGGCAAGAGTCTCTGTGTGGTCAATGACACAGCCAAGCGTGGTGACACGAACCTTTAATCCCAGGACCAACCATAGAGACCAGGAGGTCTGTATAGACAGGCAGTGATGAGGAAGTCATGTGGCTGGGCTTAGAGCCAATGAGGAAGCAGAACAGGAAAGCAATAAAAACACAAGTCAGACATTAGAAGGTCTCTCGCTGGGGGAAGCTACTGCTGGTGGGAAGCAAAAGCTAGGTGGCTCTGGCTCTGATCTCTTTGGCTTTAACTCTGTATTCGGCTCTGTGTTTCTTATTTACTAAGACTGTTTAGAATTTTGTCTACACCTGTACTGCCAGCCCCATAATTCTTAATATGGGCATGGAAACTTTCAACTTTGCTTTGGAATTTTTGCCTTGAATTTTCAGTTATTGTTAGTAAGGACTGTCAGCAGTGGTGTCAAGCTGGACAGGTTTAGACTAGAATAAGCTGTTGTTTCCTGGTTTGTTTTGTTTTATTATTATTTTTGTTATTGTTATTATTATTAATTTGGTTTTTCGAGACAGGGTCTCTCTTTGTAGCCCTGGCTGTCTTGGAACCCACTTTGTAGACCAGACTACCTCCAACTCAGAGATCCTCCTGTCTCTGCCTCCTGAGTGTTGGGATTAAAGGATTAAAGGCAGCTAGCTAGATGTGCACCTCTGCATTCTCTTTTCACTAGCTCTGCACCTCTGAGCAGATGAGCTAGGGTCAACAGGATTTTGAAGGCATGTACCACCACACCTGGCTATTTAACTGAATTCTCTCTGACCATTTTGGCTAAATTTTGGGAAGGGTAGGCACACACACATGAGTAGGCTGCAGGATATAGGAGCATTCATATATGATGATTTGCCTATGTGACCACAGTTCCTATAAAGACCATTAGAAACAAGGTTTTACTAGGTAGCCTACTTAATTACAAGCATATAACTATTCCTGTCTATCTGTACTGTCTACCTAACTAAAGAATTTAAGAATAGTATTTGGGAGACTAGCTTTTATCTAATAAAATCTGGATAGCTGGAGACATTGGAGATGGTTATTTTGGGTCATATTTAACCTCCCTTAAATAACTTATAAGCATTTATAAGCATCTCTACATTCCCACGATACATTTGACTCTTCTTTCATGCACATGTAGCAAAACTGTGATTATACTAATCACGGTGTTTTAAACTACAGGGTGAGCAGTGAGTAAGGAGTCTATTACATCAGCACAACAGATCTAAAGCAAGCAGTGGCTTATTTTCTACCTTCAGGGTGTCTGAAGAAGAGAAGCAGTAATGTTTGCTGTACATAAACTGTTTGAAGATTAGACATGAGGGTTTTTGAAAATTCACTCCATAATCCAATTTGAAATTCATTTCAGCATTTCTTTAATGTACAACAGTGCTTTCCAGTTTTGCTTCTGAAAAGCTATAGAAAGTAGCAGAGAGAGGCAACACAGAGCTGAAAGAAACCAGCCCTAGGGGATCCGGAAGAAATGTAAAAAGAAGGAAAGCCTAAGCCTCCACAAGGCTTTGATTTCTAAAGGAACTGATTTGGTTCACTTGGATACAAAGTTCCAAACAACTTAAGAATGGTTCAGACATGCACAGTCGGCTCTGGGGGAGCATGACCAGTTATTAAAAAATAAAACGTGTCTGCTCTTAATATTTTATTGATAATAAAGTGGGAGAGGTACATTTAAATTGTATCCCAAAAGACAATGCGTTGTATCTCCTATGTGACAACTTACCTTTTAAACATTAAAATGTAGATCTTTCTACATGCTTGTAGTCATATATGCTCCACAAGCTGAAGTCATCAGAGAGGAGGGGACCTCAATCAGGAAAATGCCTCCATAAGGACAGGTTGTAGGCAGGCCTGTAACACACTGTCCTAGTGATTGGTGTGTGTGTGGGGGGGGGGGGGGCAGTCCACTGTGGGGTTTGAGTTCCTGTCCTGACTTCCTTCTGTGATGAACAGTGATAGCGAAGTGTAAGACAAATAAACCCTTTCCTCCCCAACTTGCTTTTTGGTCATGGTGTTTGGTCGAAACAATAGAAGCCCTAACTGACGGGTGTCCTATTCTGTCATTTTGCCTATTCCTTTCAGACAGGCTTTTCCTGAACTTGGAGCTAGACTGGAGGCTAGCAAGCCCCAGTGGTCCTCCTGCCTCTACTCCCCACCCCCACCCCTGGCACTGGCATTACAGGCATATGCACAACCATGCCTGGATTTTTTTTTCCCCAGACAAGGTTTCGCTGTGTAACTGGAACGCGAAAATATACACCAGCCTCGCCTTGAACTCACTAGGATCCACCTGCCTCTGCTTGCCTCCCAAGTGCTGGGATTAAAGGCATTCACCACCATCGGCTTTTTTTATGTTTTCATTTGTTTGTTTGTTTTTCGAGACAGGGTTTCTCTGTGTAGTTTTGGTGCCTGTCCTGAATCTCACTCTGTAGACCAGGATGACCTCGAACTCACAGAGATCTGCCTGGCTCTGCCTCCCGAGTGCTGGGTTTAAAGGCGTGTGCCACCGCTGCCCACCCTGTTTGTTTTTTTGAGACAGGGTTTCTCTATGTAACCTTGGCTGTCCTAGAACTTGCTCTGTAGACCAGGCTGGCCTTGAACTCACAGAGATCCGCCTGCCTCTACCTCCAGAAGGCTGGGATTAAAGGCATGCTTGGATTTTTATTTGGGTGTTGGGCTCCAAAGGCATGTCCTCATGCCCAGTGTTTTGTCTTTGTAAAAAAGGAGCTGGATCTGCAATGACTGAAATACATTTCTTGTACACACTCCTTAACCTAGTGTTTGTAGACAAATTAATGAAAAAAATCTGTAAATAAAGATGAACTTAAATCTTTTGAACAAATATTACAGTGCTTCAATGAACCTAAGTTATCCAGTTAGCAATGATGAATGAACCTAAGTTATCCAGTTAGCAATGATGAACACTTTTTTTTCCTCGTAGCCATTACTGTATGTAGTAAACATTCCTGAACTTATCTGTCAAATTTTATTCAATTGTATCTGTAAATGAATTAAGGTAAATACTTAATAAAGTTGCAGCCCAGCCAATTCCATTTTTAATTTTAATGCATAATAATAAATGGCCCTCTTCATTGGTTGTATCAATTTATACTCTATGCCACACAAGATTTACTCTGGCTCAACATTAATGTTAGTTACAAAAATACAAATTCCTAGAAACAAATGTACTTTCAACTACAGCATTTTAATGGAAAACATATCAGATGAGATCTGAAAAAACAAAGAATCCTTTTGGTCTTGTGGATTGCTGAGAACATCCTTTTTCCAAAGACAAATACTTGTTCCTACTGGCCAGCTTTTTGGAACTCAGCCAAAATTCATGGCTAACTGCTTCTTTTGTAGAGTCTAATAATAAAATGTATACATCGTGGCCTTTTTGTAAACAAATAAATTATTCAATTTTTTGTTAGATGTAAGTAATTGTTTAAAAACTTTGCAAACATTTGTAGACTGTCTCTTCGAAGTGAACAGGTCCTGAAGAAATGCTTGGAATTCATTCCATCGCACAGACTCTCCAAGGATTCCGTGGCCTATTGACATTAAAGTAAGAAAAGTAACCTACGTGCAGAAAGAAGGTTTCATTCCATTAACATTCATGAGGGCGGAACAGCTGAAGCCCTACACATCATGGACGAATATACCCTTTGTCTCCTGATGAGAAAATGTCTCCGTGATAAATGGTTACAGACAAGCGGTGTCACAAGGGCAACAGCGCACAGAACAGCTCCTGCAAACTTTTTGTGTGTTTTTTTTTTCTTTTCGGTTTTCTTTGCTTAGAGGTCTTTGTAGCATTGTTCAGCACAGTGCACAGTGCCCATCCCTTCAAATAAAAGGCGCTTATTGCAATGTAAGTAAAATCCCCAACCCTTGCAGAGACACTACCCAGAAAACCGACCAACCAACCAAACTAACAAACAAAAAACCCTTTGAAAAGGGTTTGGAACGCCGTCCCAAAGGCTTCATAAGGAATAGCTATTCAGACTGTAAAGAGAAGTGCGGTACATCCGGCGTTCAAGCAACGTGGACTTAAATGGGTAAGTACTCAGACGAAGTGCAGTGTCTGTAGTCAACACAAAATACCAGACACACCATTAAAATGCCGTACAGTCATTTGCATAGATACAAACATTTCATCTACCCCTTCAGTAAATTTGTGGTAAAAATTAAGTCGGAAGACATGGGGTTCTTATGTCACGGACATCAGATAGGGCAACAGTGACTACCAGTGACGCCCTGTTAATTTTCAAATCGGGATAGGTTAGTTACAAGTTGTTGACAACTTTGTCCCATTCAGTGAGTAGCTCCAGGGCAGACCCTTCCCTGGCTTGGGTCTAGATGGCTCAGGCAGCTCAGCTACGGACCCAAGACTGCTCCCAGCCCAGCGCTCCAGCGCCTGTCTTGCTGCCCTGTGGGCTCACAGTTGGATTTTCTAAAACAGGAACGTTAACCCTGTGCTTGTGCTTTCTTCTGCCCCATCGGGAAGAAAATTCCAGATACCGAGCGAGAAGAAATGCACAGTGGCTCGCCGTGGGCCCCTCATCCTGCCCTCTCCGTCTGTCTTTCTCTGCTCGGGTGGCGGGCTGGGCTCGCCGGATCCGCAGAGTGCGGGCAATCCAACCCGGCCAGGAGCCCCCCGGGGGGGCGGGGCAGGAGGCGGGGCCGAGCTCAGGCCCCGCCCCAGCGGCGTCGGCGCGCCTGCGCGCTAGCGTGGGCCTGCGGTTGGCCGCCCGGGTCCCGGGCTCCCCGCCCCCGCCCGCGCCCTCGCACCTCCGCCTACTCTACGCGATGACGCACCGCAGGTTTGCGGACGTGGCGGCGGCTGTCGGTCCGGAAGGCGGCGACGGCGGGGACGGCGGCGACGGCGGCAGGAGCGCGCCCGGGACAGCCGAGAACCCGGGGTCGGTCATGAGCTTCCCCGGGGCCGCGGCCGTGGTGGCGGACGGGACCGTGGCGCCGCGCCCCTGCTAGAGGACAGGTGACGGCGGCTGGGGGCGGGGCGGGGCGACGTCGGCCGGGGTCACCGCGGGGCGCTCGCCCGGCTCGGGAAGGACGCTCGCCTCTCGGTTCCGGGCAGCCCTTTCCCCGCCTTAGCGTCCCAGGCCGATGCTGCGACTTATAAATCAAGAGATGTAATAATCCGTGCAGGGGACGCCCGGAGGGAAAGGAAAAATAAAAATAAAGGCGTGCAGTGGACAGGGAGGAAGTTTTGTAGTCGTCGCTTTGGTTTAGAATTGGCCCTGGTGCATAGGACCGGGGTGATTCTGTCCCGAGTGCTGAACTGGGTTGTCCCCTAGGAGTCGTCTGTCGCGCCCTGCCTAAGGTCAAGACCCAACACCCAGTAGCAGTTACCATGTCGTACCTAGGGGTTTGCGAGGTCGCTTTCGGTTATAGGCTGAGCGGATGAAAACATGCTCCCTGTATCCGTTGATGATCACTTTCAGGCCGTTTGTCAGCATTGCAACTTGTTCTAGTTCTACGAAGCCAGATTCCATAGAGAATTTAGAGAGGTGAAGAGAACCGAGCCCGATGACTCGGATACTCTGTACTTTCTAATCTTTAGTTGTTTGATCATGTTATTATCTGCCTGGGGCAAAGTGTAGATTGGCCCTTGGATTACAGACCAGCACAGCCGATTCTTGGTTAGTCAGATATGAGTGTCCAGGTTGCTTATTCAGCTTCCCTTTCATTTTAGAGGAAGAGAGTTAGTACGTGAAGATGCGAGCTTTCGATTCCTAGCTGGGAACCTATCGTGAGGAAAAAGATTGATGTCAGTAAATTTTGTCTCAAATGGCTTTTAGGCATTACTCAGTAAATTTCACATAGCTGTACTAAGAATGTCAGGGACAGCGTGCCTAGGGCCACAGAATTACCTATGTATACATCGCTCTATGTGGAATCTTTTCTGATCATGGTTGGTTTTTGAGAACACGAAACAGGTTTTTCCCCAGGTAATACACGTTTGTAGATAGCTTGCTTCTGATTGATTCCACAAGACTGACAGACACTATTCCCTAGATTAAAGATGTGGGATTGTTGTTGTTGTTACTTTTTAAAGAAAAGACCTGGAGAAGTGTAAACAAAACTTGTCCTTGGAGAAACAGGCCTTACTGAGATGTGAAGTGTGGGCTTTCTTTAGTTTGGGGCTGTCAAATTAGGGGTGTTAGTTTTGGGCAATAAATAATGTAGCTCCGGTGGGAGCAATTGAATCAAGTGAGTAATGTATAGAGCTATTAGTTAATAAGTATCTAAATAGAGACCTTTGAATTTTTAAAGCAGTACAGTGTTGCTGTAAAGCAAGCCCAGAAACTGGATTTTAAGGGCTAGATTTAATTAATTGAAACCTTTTGAAACTCAGGTATGTTTTCACAGAGACTGTAACCTTTCGTCATCTATGAATGTGGAGTCAGTTGTCTTTGTTGTTTCTTCCCGCCCCCACCTCCACTTCGTTTCTCATCCATAGACTCCAAAACAGGAATACAACCTTCTAGACTTCATTTTGCATTCTAGGATTCCATGACGTAACATTTTAATGGTTTCTTCCTCTCCTGGGCACTCCTTTTCTATGCTTGCTGCAGGATTTGATCTTCACCGAGATAACACGATTGTGTAGTTAGCATTAGATTTTGCTGTTTTAGAGGAATTCATTGTAATTGACGTGGTTTGATTTCAGTTACTGTGATAACGACCATGAACAAAAGCAACTTGGGGAGGGGTTCCTTTGGCTTACACCTGCCCACCACAGTCCATCATCGGGAAGAACGCTGTCTACTGGCTTGATTTCCACAGCTTCCTCAGCCTGCTTTCTTAAACATCCTAGGACCACCTGTCCAAGGATGGCACCACCCACAGTAGACTGGGCCCTCCCACATCTGTCATTAGCCCAGAAAATGCCCCGCAGATTTACCTCCAGGCCAGTCTTATGAGGCATTTTCTCAACTGACGTTTCCTTTTCTCAGATGACTCTAGTTTCTGTCTAATTGACAAAACTAACAGGCAAAACAGTCACACCCATCCCTGTGCCTAGCTCCTCTTGTCTTCCATGTCTTAAGGGAATGGTACTATATTCAGGAATGGATGCTTCAAGTCTGAGATACATTGAAGTTTGAAAGGTTTTTTTTGTTTGTTTTTTGTTTTGTTTTTGTCTGTGAAAGCCTGTCTTATTATGTCTATCCTCGATCACATGGATGATTAAATTGAGGCCAAACTACTGTATGTGAAATTCGTTTTTAGGATCTTGTGCTTATTCCTTTTTAATGAGAGTTGGACCAAATTGATGAAAGCATGCTGATAGTGACTTTGGAAGTAAAGGAGATATATTCATTGGTGAATACTTCTTACTTAGCCCAGTTCTCAGTTGACTGTTTTTTTTTTTAAAGTGTAAGTGAATATAAATGCCTAGAATCCATTCAGTTTTTATGGGGTATAAATTGAATTTAATGAGAACTTTAAGTTAAAATAAAAGCTTTCAAAGAAACATCCCTGTTCAGGAGGAAACTTATGACCTATAACCGTGAGTATAGACTGTACTGTAATAAATATAAATTCCGAATTTAACGTGGTCCAGAGCTTAAACTGTATGTAATACATATAAATTCTGAATTTAATGTGATCCAGTGAGTTAGAAGTGCAGAGATATTTAATCCCATGTAAAATCAAATGCAGAACAAGAAAAGTTTGAATTCATAGGAGTATTGTGTGTGTCTATAAAACACATGTTTTGATTCCTTCAGAGCTACAAGTTTTAAACAGTTGAAAATTCTTAAGAAATTAAACAGAACTTTCTAATTTTCTTCATAGTAATAGAATAAGAACTTAATGGTTTGACATAAAAAGTACAGTAATTTTTCTAGTTTTCAATATGGTTACCGTATCTGTTTGTGATATGTGGTTAATTGACTCACTGCTTATTTTGTTTTTTTAATTTGACACGAAATCTCATTGGGTAGATAGGCCAGATTCATGGAGATATCTACCTGTCCTTGCTCTCCCATTGCTGGGATGCAAGGTGTGTGTCACCACACTCAGACATCACAGCTTCTTAAAACAGGGTCTCAACCACATCTGGGGTCACACATCTGAATGTGGGGTTTCGAAAAATCTGACAAGAGTAAAGGGGTTCTGAGAGCAGAATAACCAAAAATCATTGAGAATCAGCCAATCAGGTATCTGAGGTATTCCTGGCAGTGCTCAGCCCTGAGCTCAGTCACTGCAGCAGGTTCTGCACATGCGCACTTTGTATGCCATCAGATCACATGATACTGACCAACAGCTCTCAGGAAAAAGTTCCCCACTCTATGGAAACAGAATGCTTCCATTATAAAACAAGAATGTTTCACATTTTGTACTTCATGTCTCAGCATATAGGTATCAAATTAATACATTTTTGGATAGTATTTTATTACGATGTTTGGTTGAAAAAATTGCTTTCAGAGGACTGGCAAAGTGACTTAGTGTATAGAGGTCCTTGCTGCCACCCCTGGTGAACTGAGATCGATCCCAGAACCCACATGGTGGAAGGAGAGAACCAAGTACCCGGAGTTGTCCTCTGACATCTACTCATGGCAGCACACACTCCATAAATTAATTAATTAATAAGAAAAGGTTTTCTGTTAGAGTTGTTGATGGGTTTTATGAAAAAGTGTTAAATGAATTTGGCTTGAGATTTTGAACAATTTCTGAAATGGCTCACATTTGAGTGAAATAGCATTCTAAGCATTGGCAACTCTAAATCATTTCATTGATCAACTCTGAAAAATGTTGAAAATTATCTGTGTCGTACAGTACCAAAAATTCAGCCAAGACTGATTGTTTCATGTGATTTTGTTATATCATGGATTTGGAGGTCAGAGGACAGTTGGTGGACATTGGTTCTTTCCTTCTCCCGTGGGTCTCGTGCGTCAGAGGTGACTTTAGGTGGTCAGACTTGGCAGCAGGCACCACTGACCACTGAGCCACCTCAGGGGCACAAGGCCGATTGAATTTGGGTAGAGAAAGGAACAAGCACAAGAACATCTCAGTATTCAGATCTACTTTTGTCTTTAGCAAATGGCAAGATTACATGTGTACCAAATAATGGTTTTTAAATGAAATTCCTCTTGATTATTGTCTGTAAATGTTTGTATTGTACACCTGTGGTATATACCTATAAACCTGGGATTGTGTAGAAGTGTCTCGGTGAACAAGAGTCCTGAGTGGAGCGTGTAAGCCTTGTGTTAGCTGACCCTTTCCATGCTGTCTCCTCTGTCAGCTTGTTGGATACACTGCCACAGTTACAGAACTTGAACCTCAGTTTACCACGTAACTAAAAACAATGATTATTTGAAAGATTAGTATTTAGACTGTAAGATGCATGCAAATAATGAAATGGGTCCGTGACATTCCAAGGTCTTGTCTTCTCTTCCTCCAGATTATAACATCATGGCGGGGAGGAACCAGAATCGAACTGTCTCCCTCCCAGGAACTCAGGCCAGTGGCCAGCTCCATACCTTTGGAAATTGTACAGACAGTGACCTGTTGGAAGAAGATGCTGAAGTGTATGAGCTTCGGTCCAGAGGAAGGGAGAAGGTTCGAAGAAGTACATCGAGAGACAGACTTGATGACATCATTCTGCTAACAAAAGACATACAGGAAGGAGACACTCTGAATGCAGTAGCCCTTCAGTACTGTTGTACGGTAAGAGTTAATTTAATTTAGTTTTGTATAATGGAGTCCAGAATAGATGATTTGTTCATGAGCCCAACCAGAATTGAAGTCGTTCTTGTCTTCTCAACTTCCTTCCTTTTCTTTTTCCTTGCTTTTTTTTCTTTGCACAGAGATCTTTCATGCCTGTGGACATGACCTTTTTAATTGGCAGAGACTGTAAATTATTCTGCATCTTGCATTTTTCGTATTTTGGATATCCTTTAGAACCTTATAGACTTACTTCATTAGCAGCTAGAATTTGGTATTGGCTCACCTGGAGCTGGAGTTACAGGTGGTTGTGAGCTGCCCAGAGGGGTGCTGGAAACCAAACCCAGGCCCTGTGCAAGAACAGCACATGCATTTAACCCCTCAGTGCCTACAGCCCTGGTTTAGTTTTAACAGATAACATGAGAGCTCTTTTTTTGTTTGTTCGTTTTTTTCAAGACAAGGTTTCTTTGTGTAGCTTTGGAGCTTGTCCTGGAACCAGGTTGGCCTTGAACTCACAGAGATCCACCTGCCTCTGTGCTGGGATTAAAGGCTTGCGCCACCACTATCCGGCAAGAGCTCTTTTTAATAAAGTGAGATTCTATATCATTCTTTGCTATCCTTGTTTAATGTTTCCATCTAGAATTTTTCATAATATAAAATATTTTTATACTTGAAATCTCTTTACTGGTGACTTGTTATACTATTCTACAGTAAGAAAGCACATTTTTTTCCAGACTGAGAACCGAACACCCAGGGCCTTGCACTTGCTAGTCAATTGCTCTACCACTGAGCTAAATCTCCAACCCTGAAAGCACATTTTTATATATTTGCTATGTCAATGTATATATGTATGTAGTATGTATGTATGTTTAAATAGGATTAAAAAAACCCAAATTCTTTGGCCATGAGGTCCTATGTTATATTTTTTTTCAGGACAGAGTAATCCAGCTATTCATAGTATGTCCAAGTAAATTATAGCTTTAGATTTAAAGATTAATGAGGGTTTTTATTGGCATATTTTTGATGAGGTAGAGAGATGGGCACTTGGTTTTTCCTGCGGAGTTGCTAAGGACCAACACAGGGAAGCTGATAGCTGATGACTTACACAGCAGAGAAGTCACTGGCCATGTGGGGAGAGTGGGTTGCTCCTGGTGCTTCCTTGTGACGAACGCTCATGGTGCTCGCTTGTGACGAACGTACGCTCAGCCTGCAGAGAAACATTAGCTTACAAATGAACTTACCGTTGCTTATACCGTCAGTCGTTATTGCTATATTGAAAATATGCTTGTTACAAAACAGTGATGAGGGGAATGAAAAATCTGGGGCTGAAATCCTAAATGTGTCCAAGTTAGCATAACCCAGAAAACATTATTCGGTATATTTAGAGAAGTAGCCCAGAGTCTTAGATGCCGATTCAGAGTCCCTAGTAGTTCTTAGTAAAGCAAGAGAAATTAAAATGGAGTGAGGTCACGTGTCGGGGTTTGCCCCGAGTCTTCACCTGCTTTAAGACAGAACGGGCTGAAGTAGACAGGCAGCAAGTCCTCTAGCCTCTCACCTTCTAGTTAGTCTGTAGTTCTCTACCGCAGTCATCCAAAAATACAAGAGAATTTGTCCAAGTACAGATGCCAATCTGATTCTGTTCACTGCTCCCTGGTAAACACTCATCTTGACTGACACTGAAGACTGGAGTCTCCTGCTACGTAATACTCAGTAAAAGCTGACATCCTGTGACACAGTGTAGATCGCTACTCAAGTACTCTTGATGTATTTGAACCCATTGGTATTCACACCAGCCTTCTAAGGCAGGGAGTGTCACTCTACATTTTACAGGTATGGAAATGGAGGAGCTGAAGGCTGCTCACCCTCAAACACACAGCTAGAAAGCGGCAGTTGTCTTCACAGATGTGTTCTCGACCACCCTGTGATCCTGCCTTCCCATCCACTCTTTCTCAGGTCTCTTATGTATCCCTCAAATGGTGGTATTGTGCAGGGCACTCTCCTCTGTTTTCCCTCAGAACATTTTCTAGTGACTCTGTCCAGGTCTCACGTCCTCTCATTTGAGTTTCAGACATCTGTCTTCACCTCTGTTGAACATCATTCACATCTCAGGCACTAAAAGCCACTGTGTCTAAAATCTGTGTGCCCACTGCTAACTAGTGGTAAACAGATGTCTTTATTATATATATCTGGTGCAGCTTTTTCCTACTGAGAGATAACTAGAATCATGGTGCATTGTAGTGTTGATGGCATTTTAGTTTTGCTAACGTATCGTCCTTTTAACTGGTAATTAATGTGCTGAAACTCCAATTTCATTAGTACCAGTCATTGTTTATTCACAAATTGCTTGCCAACATACATTACCCATGGTAAATTTGTATGATGTACAAAGTAGAAGAATAAAATATCTGAGTATTAACTGGAGTTACTACTATCCAGGTAACAATACACAGTTGTGGAGATTTCCTAACACTGGATAAATTTAGTGCTTAGAATTCTCATATACAAGGAAATTTAAAATCTGGGTGGGGTGCCAGTACTAATAGTAAGAAGGAAATTCAACTATTTTCCCTCCAAAGTAAGTGAATGGATGAAGGTTTTGTGTAGTTTTAGAATTCAGTTGAATGTTGCATTTTTTTCTTTTTTTGCAGGTAGCAGATATCAAAAGAGTTAACAATCTCATCAGTGATCAAGATTTTTTTGCCCTTAGGTCTATCAAAATTCCAGTTAAAAAGTTTAGTTCTTTGACTGAAACTCTTCATCCTCTGAAAGGAAGACAAGGTTTGCATCCTCCACCCGTCGCATGTGCTCCAGAGCGGGAAGCTGTGGCCCCTGGTGCCTGTCTGCCTTCCACTGAGTCAGCTGGCAGTTTCCTGGAAGAAGTGGATCGAGACATAGAGCAGATAGTGAAGTGCACAGACACCCAGAGGGAGAACCTGAATGAGGTGGTGTCTGCCTTAACAGCACAGCAGAGCCGCTTTGAACCGGATGGCAGAAGCACTCACAGAAAGGACCCGTACTACGGAGCAGACTGGGGAATTGGTTGGTGGACAGCTGTGGTGATAATGCTGATAGTGGGTATAATAACACCAGTATTTTATTTGCTCTATTATGAAATTTTAGCTAAAGTGGATGTTAGTCACCATTCAACAGTGGGCTCTTCACATTTGCATCCAGGACTCACACCTCCATCTCAGCACAGAGAAATGGAAAATGGAATTGGTCCAACAAAAGGAATACATGTTAGTCAACAAGATGACCACAACCTATATAGGCAAGATCCGCAATCACCTGCTGCTCAACACAGAACGTAGCAGAGAGCTCTGATCAGCGTTGATGTGTGCCTATGGATATGGCGATTCACAGATAGCCAACAGCTGCTTCGAAGTCAGCATCTAGGGACATCGAAGATGCTGTTTTCACCTTGCTAGGAACCCCTAAGCCTTTTACAAATGGATTGTCTGTAACACACATATGTGCTTCTTTATATTGAGACTGGTCAGAATACATCTGCTGTATCAGTTCTTAAAGCAGAAATTAACTTAAATGTATGTGTAAGACATACATTTCTAACTTGCAAAATGCTGTCATTTTTCTTATTCAGGATTAGTTGTGTTTAAATTTATTTTTTTAAAAATTATTTTTTAATTTAAGGTTGTTCTTGTCAAGTTTTTCAAATGCTTAACAGCTAAAGAAAATTTGCTACCATACCACCAAAATACTAGTTTTGATTCTAAAATTATGATACCAAGTACTTAACACTCAATTTTGAAAGTGTTTTTTGTCTTTTGAGACAGGGTTTCTCTGTGTAGTTTTGGTGCCTGGCCTGGATCTCGCTCTGTAGACCGGGCTGGCTCTGTCTCCCGAGTGCTGGGATTAAAGTCTTGCACCACCATCGCCTGGTTTCAATTTTGAAACTTTAAAAACATGTTTTAACACGTGCTATGAAAGCAAATGTAGAAACAGATATAGAAACATAATTTATAATTTCTGTAATAGAGGCTAACAAATAGATTAAATATTTTAAGACCCCCAAATAATGTCTTAGGGTTGGAAACTTACCCTTTGACCACAAGGACACTGAAATGGGTCAAGACCTAGTCCATCAAAAAGGAATGCTTTATGAGGCGCCCTCCAGCCTCACATTCACTTATCATTTAAAATAAAAAAAAAAAAACTTGTATCTGATAATTGGAAGCACTTTGTAGCACTTTGATGAAGTGTTATTCAGAAAAGTATATTTAGCAAATTCCTCTTTACATACTGTGACTAATCACTGCTGTTACAAATAGTAACATGCCTTAATTAACACTTCCTGCCTTATAATGTTACTTTACCGAGAGCTCAGACACACTTTACAATTGAATTTGAAACATTGTCAGATTTCCTTCCATAGGCTGTCATTCCACAGACTGTAACTTTGTCTTCTCTTTTAAACACAAGTAAACATGATGTAGCAGATTTGTACTATCTGCCTCTCATGTCTTGCAGAGAAAAAAATGAGTGAACAGGACTTTGACGTTAGCAGTAAACAGATTGCTGTATTTGGTGGCCCCTTGGCCTCTGCTTTTCAAAAGAAATGTCCTGTTTAGATGATCTAAATGCACCTAATATGCACTATCAAACTGAGAAACACAGGCCAAAGTGTGAATTAGTCAAAAGGGCTTAATAGTGACATTTTCAAAGTCTACTGTGAGACAACCAGTTTGGCTAAGAAGCATTTGTATACTGATTTCAGTGTTTAATTTTAAATATGTGTTTTTAAAATATCAGTACAGGTGGTAGAATTGGGATTGCATGTTTTCTGTATAATAAACTGCACACCTTAAAATATATCACCTCTTTCTGGACATTATTCCTAAATCAATGTTTCAGCTTTTTAAGCATTTTCTATATCAAATTCTAATCCTGATACAAGGAATTATTAATACACATTTATTATATTTGGGGTTTATATACTTTGAGAAGAAAAAGCACTACAAAAAGACACAGAAGTCAGTCATTTTATTAAAGCCCTTACATATATCAGAGAAGTTTAGAAAATTACCTTTAAAGTATTTAATAATAGGAAAGTTGTAGTGAATCAATTCCCTTTGTATATCTTAGTTAAAATAATTGTTTTAACAGCCATGTGCATTTTGAAATGAGCATGATCTGTAAATATGCTCAGTGCTAACACAGCCAGTTTACATAATATTTATTAAGCCTGCTGAAAAAAATCAAATTTTAGGGTAGAAAATGAAGACTTGAGGGCAGTACAGGTGACATAACCTTTGAAGGACTTTGTTTACATCAAACAAAATTAGAGAGTTGGTAATTTTTTTTTCTGGTTTTATTTGGAATTGTAATCAAGGGTTTGATAACTTATGTTTAAAGGAGGAGGTACACCTGCTGGTTAAAATTACTTCTGTCTTGAGCATCCTCTTTGAAGGAAATACAACACACATCCTTAGGAAACAACCACACAATTTCCTTTCCCTATGTATTTTAGAGTTACTAATCAAATATAATTCTATATGTAGGATTATGCTTTCATTTTTAAAAAAATTTAGCATTTCATAGATTTTTGAAACTATATTAAATATGCATTTGCAAATGTATGCAAAGTTTTGGCAACTTCATTGTATTTTAGACAACACAAGCACAACTGTCATTGTTTGATAATATGGATCATGTTCAAGCCCTTACTTGAATTTGCTTTGAGGCTTTAATTTTTGTGTGTGTACTTGTGTGTATGCAGTTATAAGCATAACAGAAGTGGGTCATAGTCATTGATACTAGTTCACTTAAAAATTTGGAATTGCAAGTAAAGAAAAACCTGATATTAGGACACATTCTTGACTTGTTGAAGACTAGTTAGATGTGGTTGAGTTTGTTTTGAACCAATGGATACCTACTTAAATATCATCACTGTCCTCTCAACGAAGCAAAGTTATGGTCTGCTGGCCATGTTATGGATTAGGAAGGAGCATGCATTCTCAAGTGGAGTTGGGTTGTTAAAAGCTTTTTTCTGGACTCAGCTTTTTGGCGGTGAGATCTAACATCTCACTGGAAAGATGAAGGCTGTGGTTAGAAATAGAAGTGGAGATCCAGTCTCAGTGTGTTAGAATTAGGGTTATTTAAACACTGCATTATCATGGGACTCTTTCTGATTTTGAATTACAACATTGTTGCTCAGGAAATCAGTATTTTTTTCTAAGTATGTGCATATTGCACTGTTAGATCATAGAAATATATGATGGTTTATTTAATTCATTTTATGTATGCAAAAGCTATAAATCTTTTGTATAATGTATTTTATATAATTGCAAATGTATTAAACCATTGTTAGCATGTACATCTGTAAAACTGGTTTTTAAACTTTTTGCCTTGTTTTTCATATTTTAAGGATATGCAAAAATATTAATAAAGTTTCTATTTTATTAATTTGAAAATGGAAGTTGTTGAATGTAATTGAATAAAGCAAACATTTAATTTTGTTCTTTCAAGCTACTTGAAATACATTTTTTTCACATTAGTTCTTTAAGAGTTTCAAGTTTTGTATGTGTTTTGTCATATTCACACACACTCCTAACTCTTCCCAGATCCACCTCTTCCCTATGCACTCAACTTTGTGTCCTTTAATACACATACACACACACACATTAAGACCAGTGGTTGACTTACCAATGAGATACATTCTGACAAAAACTAACTTTTCTCTGGGCTGCTATCGTTTACCATTTGCTTCATGGCTAGTGGTAAGATTGTGTGGTCAACTTCCCTTGCCATGCTGGGATTTGATCTGGCTTGAGCCTGCACACGTCTTGTACATGCTGTCCCAATAGCTCACACCTGTAGCTACGCTGCTCTGTCCAGATGTTTCCAAGTCGTCGCCTACTGTCTCTGGCTGTTGGAATCTTTCCACCTTCTCTTACTACAAGCACGAGTCCTAATTGGTCTTAAAAATGAAAGCCTGGAGTCAGCTATGGTGTAAGGGCTGAAAGATCAGAGACAAAAGAGCAAGCCACAGCCACCACCACCTTGCCAAATTCTCAGCCTGAAAGAGTGAGCTCCTGTCTCCTCCCACCTTCCATTCCTCCCTCTGCCCAGCTGAGGAGTTGGCAAGGTGGTGGTGGCTGTGGCTTGCTCTTTTGTCTCTGATCTTTCAGCATATACCCCTGTAGCTGACTCTGGGATTTTATTACTAAGACAAATTAGGATTCATGCTACACTTCCTCAATGATCCTTAGTCTTAGGAGGAGGGTGTGTGCAATACAGTCTCTTAGTATCTGCCCCTTGGCCAGTTAATCATCATTTACTGCAAATAGCTTTCTCAGATGAGTTTTCAGAGTCATTAGGAGTCAGTTTAGAATTCTACCTATTTACAAGCGTAATAGTAGGTTCTCCCTTAGGACCTCTGACATGTCTTCACAGTAGGTTTTTGGCATAAAAGTGATACCAAGTGTGAGTTTCATCTAGTGGAACAGGGCTTAAATCTTAACTAGAAAGTGGTTGGTTATTTCCATGATGTTTGTGCCAATATTTCACTAATGGACATGTCCTGCCACGGCAAATCTTTGGTGGAGTTGGTGGAGTTGACAGCTGGGTGTAAACTCAAATTGCCACACATTTATGCGTTCAGATTTCTCCCTTGTTACAGTCAAAGTCCACTGGACTATTTGTAGAACACAAAACAACAAGTGTTAGATAAATGGCGATGGGGAAATGTGTTCCTGGTAAATTAGACTTGGTAAGTCCAGGCCATGCTTATAGAGCCGAGTCAGTCTCATGAGATGCTCGATATGTAAATTATAATTTTTTTTATAAAACAAAAATGCTTTTCAAGATATAAATCTTCGGGACTCAGGAGATGGCTCAGTTAGGAAAGTGTTTGCTGCACAGGCGTGGGGCCTGAGCTAGTGCAGGGGAGGCCGAGACAAGATCCCTTGGGCTTGCTGGCCAGACAATTTAGTGCGGATTGCTGACCCCGCCAAATGAAGAGTAATAGAGGAAGACTACCTAGCCTTTGGTCTGCAAACACGTGCGAACACTTAGATGAACACCACATATGCAAAGTATACATACATACATACATATGTAGACCAGGCTGGCCTTGAACTCACATAGATCTGCCTGCCTTACATACATACTTATGTAGATCCGCCTGCCTCTGCCTCCTGAGTGCCGGGATTAAAGGCGTGCGCCACCACCGCCCAGCTGTCTTTCAATTTTAAAGCGACTTGACCTGGAAGTTGTGCTTACATTTCCTCTGACACTTGTCACTCGAAGGTGTGGCTGGAAAGATGGCCAGCAATCCTCTGATGCTTTGGCACCTTCCAGCAACACTGTTCAAAACCGTGAGCCCATGCTCCCTGCCAAATGCAAGGCAAGACTTTTCTTTTGTTGTATGTGGTGGGGGTTTGTTCAACAACTATCTCTGCTAAATAAATGATGTTTTTTTAGCAGAGAAAAATCAGAATTAACTAGTTTTCTTTACCAAATAAATGTTCACTGTAAACCATCTTAGTATTAAGGCCAAAATTTTATTTTTTTAAACTTTATATGTGTAAACAGATACAGAAAAATCAGCATTGTAGCAACTAGTTTTATTAAGATAATGTTAAAGATATTTTAACCAACCAGTCCAGTCCTATGAAGTACTTTAACTATTAAGAAGTTATCTCTATAAATTAATTTCAGTCTCAGAGCTTAAGCCAAGAAAACCATTTATGCTAGTCAAGCAACCTGAAATTAGTATGTTTAAAGTTGTAAACTGATCTTTCAAAGGGAGATGGACATCCTCGAAGGAGATGCCAGGTGCCCCTCGGCAGGAACACAGACAGCTGTGACGACGAGCCGGACACTAGGGAGGAGCTACTGTCAATGCATCTCCCTGATTTGAACAGTTATCTGCAGATGTGTCATGAAGGAAGGAAACAACTATCAAACAGAGCATCTGTGAACTACATGTTTGGCTCCGGTACCCAGTGTAAGGGAATAAAGTACCTGTTATTCCCAAATACAGCATTTGCCATCACTACTAAAAACTTCATGCAAGTTTCCCAACACATTGGAGTTTTAAAGACCTTTCATGTTTCCACTTAGAACTGCAAAACATTTTTTATAAGCTCCTGGGAACCGATGTAAGTCACATGTGTTCAGCACAGCACTATGCAGACAAGACATGGGCCATCACATCCATCTGGAAGTATTTGAAGAAGTATTGCCATTGAAGGTAGTCCTTCTCCTGAGAAAGGAATGTTGGAATCTCTCCAGACCATACAAATTAACTAAAGTTTCTAACACAGATACAAGATCGGAAAATCGAATTATAACTTAACAGTCCACAGTACAGTTGTCTACAGGACAAAAATCAGATTTAAGACATGATTGTTTCTGTAAGGTAAAAGATGGCATATTTGTAAATTCTGGTTAGTGTTTAAAGAATTTTTATAGGAAACTTTACAAGTGGAGAAACTAAGGCACACAAACTCAAGCTCAATTTCAAGGTTATCTGGATCCTGAGAGAAAAAGCAGGGCTCCAGTTTCCGGGTCAGAAGGTAGGAAGGGACAAGTCTCCCCAAAGGGGAGAACAGGTTCTTCCCCTTTAAGCAGATAATTTTAAATATATTAGTTTTGAAATGTATAATATGCATTTCCTTAAATCTTTGGCATGTTAAAAATCCTTAGAGGTTGAAGGGTTCTGGATATTTTCTCCTGCAAAATATAAAACTGCAGGGGAGTTGGGCGGTGGTGGCACACGCCTTTAATCCCAGCACTCGGAGGTGGATCTATCTCCGTGAGTTCGAGGCCAGCCTGGTCTACAAAGTGAGTTCAAGGACAGCCAGGACTGTTACACAGAGAAACCCTGTCTCAAAAAAACAAAAAACAAAAAACTACACAAAAAACCCAAAAAACTGCAAGGGAGTCACCCTGTAAGTTAAAACAAGAAGAATCAATTGTAATTTCAAAATGACCTGAGTTCATTTCCCATGATCTATTATTGACTTGCAGTTTCTGAATCTTGTGGAATATAACCGAGGGCGCCGCCCTTCAACATGCTCACAAACATCATTTTATCATGAAGTTTATACAACCAAGACTTATTTCCACTTACATAAAGCAGAGAATTAAACAGTATGTCTCAGTTATTTTTTTCCATAAACCCAACAAACCGAAGATGTCCAACTTCATACAGTGGAATCATTAATTCACACACTGTAAGGCATGGAGTGATCCCAAAGCCAAGCATTTTCCGACCTTCCATCCATGTGAAAGCCTCTGTTTTGGCTGAGATGTAAACTGAAAGTTATTTCGTCTCCATCATTATTTGGACGTGTTTCCTACCACCCAGCCCTCATCCCGAGTCTGCACTTGCTAAGAACTCAGGTGAGTCTATGCAGTCACGACGTGATAAATACAGAACATACCAGGTAAGAGAAATCATTTTCCAGTTTGTTTTTAAAGTGCTCCACGTGCAGTATCAATAGAAATCCACCGTGACTAGTAACAGCTTTACCAAAGGCCAGCAGGTAAGCAAGAGTGATCTTTTTCAAGTATGAACACACTGAGTGATGCTAAAACTCTTCAGGCATGTTCAAGTCCAAATAAAGACCAAAGAACCCTGCAACTCCACTACATACTCAGAGGGGTGGCAGAGGTGCTGGGGTAAGGTCTCGTGTGTGTAAACGCAAAGTGCTTCTGAAGAGCTTGGTAAGACTTTGTCAAATGAAACACTGAACAACAGAAAATATGGATTATCAGAAATAAAGTAGGCTGATCCAAACGCTTGAAGCTGTATGAACAAGAGAGAGAGAAAGTCCATGGCTAGTAGGTTGCTTCATCCATGTTATCATCACTGTCTGCACCAAAATCATCTCCATCTTCGAAGTAGGAGTTAATGTAGTCATTTTCCTAAGAGAAAAAGATATATTTCTTAGTCAATAAAGTGAATTAGCCACATTTAAGAATACAATACAAAAATAACATCCCTTGAATTTATAAATACCAAATTGAAGTGAGAAAAGAAAACAGAGAAGACTTGAATAGGAAGCCTTTGCTTGTGAGTGCTCTCCTTTTAAAAAGCAGTTTTCTCACTTTTCTACTTCTGCGTCTCTTTAAGTACCATTTTCACAGTGCTCAGGTGCAAACCAGCCAAGAGAACAGAGAGGGCCAGGCTTCCATCGCAGCAGGACTGTCCGGGGCAGCAGCATCCCAGCAGGACTGTTGAGGCAGCACTCCTTGGTGGAGCGATTCAGGCTTTTAGGAGCTGAAACACTGATCCTTTATTCCACCAATGGAAAATAGGTTTCTTGGTGGTCAATAGTCTTGACATTACATCAGAACCAGTGCAACGGCAACAACAGAGGGACTTTCAATTCCTATCAAAATACAATCTCCTTCCAACCCCAACCTACGGGAAACCACATTACATTCTTCTACATTCCTCTCAGCTTCTGGCAATGTTTCAGTTCTAGCCAAGTAAGGCCACCGTGCCGGGAAATGAGTCAAAAGATATGTGTGCCTTCTATCAAAACTTCACAAATCCATTTGAACACAGATGAAGACGTCTCAGCCAGTTGCAGTGTGTGGGTTCTATATGGATTGTAATAAAGATTTTTATAAAGAAAATTTAAACATGGTTAGATACTGGATCATATTGAGTGCAATGATCCTGTGATGCTAAAGAGCCCTTAGGTTTGTGTCCACACTGAGATACACAGGGATTAAACAAACAGGACAGTGTCCACACTGAGATACACAGGGATTAAACGAACAGGACAGTGTCCACACTGAGATACACAGGGATTAAACAAACAGGACAGTGCTAAGGGCTTGTTTTACTATGACCCAGGGTAGAATGGGGGATGGAGGACAAGGGTGGACAGGCAGGGATCTCCTGTACATATGGAAAAAAAATCACTGGAAGATTAGCCATGCAGTGAAGGAGGACGGTGACTCATACCTGTAATCCCTGAGAGGACTGAAGGGAAGAGCTGCAGACTTCAAGGCCAGCCTGGGCTACATATATAGTGAGACCCTCTCTCAATCCTGACCCTACCCAAAATCTCCACATCTCTACTATTTACAGTGGAAACAGATGGCACTCTCAAAAGAAAGCTTTCTGAATCCCAGCTTCATCTTATAGGTTTTCTTTTTAAACATCTAAAATGTATATGTATATTTGTGTATTTTATAATACTTTGTCTTCCCTAAATTCTGCAAGTCTATCCCTTTGTAGCGCCATGAAGCTGTCCTAGCTTCTGATACCAAGAATTCCACAAATGTCCAGAAACCAAGCTGAAGCCTGAGGCCTTGGTACCAGGGGAGGGCTCACTGGCAGAGCATGCAAATGAAGCCACCTAGTAAACCAGGCCTTGGCTCCCTGTGTGTAAGGAAATATAATCAAATGAACTCACACACAAAGCAAGGAAGAGAAACCCACCCTGGCATTCCCAATCAAGCAAGTAGCACTTGTCTTTTAGACATGAGTACTTATTCTAAGTATGTTTAGTGACTCAAATGTTCACACTGAGATGTTAGCAATCTTGATGCAGGCATGTTTTGGAGAGCCTGTTGAGACCAACGGCCTGAGTGGTCTCTAGATCTTACAAGTTATCTTACTTTGTTGTGGGACACAGGGGTTCAGGCTGGCCTTAAACTCCTGATCCTCCCGACTCCATCTCCCAAATACTGAAATTAGGAGCACGTGCCTGGTTTGTGCTTTATAGCATCCTGTTCTACACCACAGAATTATTCACTGTATTATAACTATTGCCTTTCTTGTTTGTCTCCTGTGTAGAATAATCTCCATGAGGGGAGAATCATCTCTTATCCTCGTAGTCTCGTGGTCAAGCAGAAATCAAGCATACACTTCAAAGTAAAAATCACTGTATGCTAAGCGACAAAGAAAAAGGAGCCAGTTGATGTGAAGTAACTATGGGCAAGGACACCAGCAACTGGAGAGATTCAATACATTAAATACAGAGTCCTGAAGAACGCGGATACTCAAGAGTAGAAAGAAGAGAATGATGGACAGCACAAAATGGGGCAAGAAGCCGGGCGGTGGTGGCGCACGCCTTTAATTCCAGCACTCGGGAGGCAGAGGTACGTGGATCTCTGTGAGTTCGAGGCCAGCCTTGTCTACAGAGCAAGATCCAGGAAAGGCGCAAAGCTGCACAGAGAAACCCTGTCTCGAAAAACCAAAAAAAAAAAGGGGGGCAAGAAACAGAAGAAAAACGAGACACACTGTATCTAAAAATGAAGCGAAGCAACCAAGTTTACCAACACTTGGGCAGCCGTCACACTGCTTCTGTCCATGGGAACTTGGGAACTTGAGACATGATGGCCCTGCAGGGATTTCCTTCTAGACGTATGTGCCTAAGCCCTTTAGAACCTCAACTGCTACCTTACACGTTTATGTTGGTAGTATGAACGGCGCTATTCTCATCAGTTTTCTTGATTCCTGACCTGCAAAAACTGTCACTCGAGTTACTTTTATCTCCTGGTTTGAATTTGGTATTATTATCCTTATACATCAAGCAGCCGATACCAGTGGTAAGGATGTATTTCTGTGTCTGCAAACTTGGGTTTCTGTTTTGGTGGCAGGGTCTTACCATGCAGCCCCAGCTCCTCAAACCCCTCCCGCCTCATTCTTGAGTTGCTAGGATTACAGGCACGCTTTTGTTTGCTGACTGACATTACAGACCGTAGATAATCTCTGAGGATTGCTGCTGATTGGTCAATAAATAAAACACTGATTGGCCAGTGGCTAGGCAGGAAGTATAGGCGGGACAAGGAGGAGGAGAATAAAGCTGGGAAGTGGAAGGCTGAGTCAGAGACACTGCCAGCCGCCATGATGACAAACAGCATGTGAAGATGCCGGTAAGCCACGAGCCACGTGGCAAGGTATAGATTTATAGAAATGGATTAATTTAAGCTGTAAGAACAGTTAGCAAGAAGACTGCCATGGCCATACAGTTTGTAACCAATATAAGTCTCTGTGTTTACTTGGTCGGGTCTGAGTGGCTGTGGGACTGGCGGGTGAGAGAGATTTGTCCTGACTGTGGGCCAGGCAGGAAAACTCTAGCTACAGAGGATAGTTAGCAGCTCCCCTCAGACTTTTACCTCCTCTTGTTCCTCTTCATCGTACTCCTCTTGCTCTGCGTCATCGTCATCGTCGTCACCATCACCATCTTTGTTTTTCTCTTTGCTCCCTTCCTTCTCTTCATTTTCTTCATCCGATCTCTCACCGTCCCCTCGCTGTTCTAATTCCTGGTGAAGTGAGATCCATTAATTCCCATGGGAATGTAACACACCCAGCAGCCCAAAGAGAAGAGTTATGGATCATTTTAGGTCAATGAACATGCCCACCAGCCTCCCACCTCGGAAACTGAGTGTGCTCAGGGACAGGTCAGCCACCATGCTGTCACGGCCCTGCCATTCTTCACCTTTGTTCCTTTATCACTGGGCCTTGCTAACCTGGGGTTAGAGTTCTAATCCACAATGCTTTCCTGTCATGATTCCTATCCTCCCTCCTCCTAAAATGTGTACATGATTTAGCTTATCCCCTTCCCATCCCTTTGTCTTTCATTACTTCCCATGCCCAAGAATTTCTCTTCAGGATAGATACATCTGGAAGGCTGTGAAAGGGGGGTTAAAACACACGTCACTGAAGACACCAGCCGTTACGAGCAATTCTAGAAATAATTCTAGCAATTCTAGAACTCCAACAGAAATGGAGTTGGGAGGCCTGGACTGCCAGATGGTTCTTGAAAAGTCACCAAGCTGCCACCTCGCAATTCTAACTTTATAAATGCCTCAGTACCGCCGCTTTTTCACCCGACGAAGGTGACCCACTTTTACCACCGTCGCTATCAGGTCACTAAGGTGGACGACCCTCACTTTACATAAGGGACAGAATTTCACAGGGTTCCTGTGAGACGGCCCAATAATCATTTTGCATCATAATTAAGGCTTCACAAGAGCTAATTTCTGATAGGTCTTAACACAGTAATTAGAAGAGTAATTAATAAATTGATGTGTAGGACACCGCATTGCTAAGACTTCGTCGATTATCCACGAACAGAAGACATATTTTACATCCAGAGAAACTACAACTTAGCTCTTCTTTAACTCCCTAAATACTTACTTTAAAATTTCTTTTAATTCCAATTTGAAATGAAGAAAGGCAAAGAAAAGACCACACTGAACAGACCCAATTTAAATGAATTAATTTTGAATGTCTATGTGTGTGTGAATGCACGTGGGCATATTAATGTGCTCATGTGTGTGGACATGCCTGTGGAGACTGGAAACTGACATTGGATATCTTCCTCAGTCGCACCCCATTTAATTGACTGAAACAGGTTCTGGCTAGTTGTGCCAGCCCTCTGCTTGCCTTAGGGCTCCCTTCTCTGTCTCGCAGGCGCTGGGATCACAGGTAGCTGCCGGGCCCACCCGGCTTGCACGTGCATGCCTGGAGCTCCAGTCATGCCTGCGTAGGAAATGCTTTATCTACCGAGCCATCTCTCAAGCTCATAACTCTCCATTTTAAAATAAATTTCAAGCTATCTTGCCGGCAGTTCTCTTCACTCAGGCAGAACAAATTAAAACCAAGACGACCACACTCACAGGATAGTTTACCCTGATAACAAACCTCGTGTTGCCTTGGCAGTTATTACAATGATATCAAGTGTACAAAAATTCCAAGTGAACAAAATTTTCACCAACCTTTTGAAACATCTGAGAAACATACATACACATATGATGCTATACTAATATTAATTAATATATGGTATTGTCTCTTTCCTATTTTAACTAGATCATAAGTAACAAAGCCTACAGCTAAATTCAATCATAATGGAGGTGGAACGGTCTATTTATTTTACTTTGTGAAAAGTATATTCTGTTATCTGAAAAAAAAAAAAGCCACTAATTATTTTACAATTAGAAACAAAATTGTTTTATAAAAACAAAAACAAACCTGTATTTTTGAAAGTACAGCATCATTCAATGTGCTGTAAGGACCAGAGAATCTGTATTTCCATTGCTGCCAAATCAAACAGCTTTAAGCAAAGAGCCTCATCTTTATCTTTATCACATACACCCAAGTCAAACCCATGAAGCATTTCAGCGAACTGAGTTAGAAGAGGTATCTGACTTTTACTATGGTCAAGGACACATACTGAGTCATTACGTCATTTTTTTTCAACAAGCTAACAGCTCCCACTTAGTAGCCTCCGTTTTCTCTTCTGTGAGATTTTATTACTTAGGCTTACTCTACAGGTTTAAGGAGAAAAGGACCGTTATAACATAGACCTCTTGAAAACAGTTAAGATGCAGACCCAGAACAGGTCTTCTAGCTCAGACACCATGTATGCAAGGAGCCTCCCTGGTGTGATGCAGAAATAAGGCGTGTGTCTCACTTTGCTGCCACAGGATTGCGTGTAAGACTCGTGAACCTCATGCTGCTTGCTACCTCCATCCAGAGATGCTGTAATAATAAAATGTGATGCTGCTTTTGTTGGTGACAACCAGAAACAACCATTGCTCTGTTACAACTGTAAACACACTAAGATCTCTCTGTTTAGAATGTTCTGGAAAAGGTGGTAAATGTAAGCAACAAGGAAGCAGTTTGTCCTGAGGAGAAACCACAGCCAAAAAGCACTGCAGCACTTTACGTGCATCTTACAGAACTCCAAACGTTACGGGCAGGCAGAGTTTGTGGTCCATAAATTCCACCTCATTTAACCTGACAGTCATTACTATTCCGTCATTGATCTTCCAGATTTTATATTTTAGACATATTATCATCCAGCTCAACTACTGTACAAAACTAAAACAGTAAAACTAGCAGCTTTCCACCCAGTAGATGTGCCAAAGAGGTCGGCAGGAGCATACGTGAAACCGCTGATTTTCTCCTGTAAGGAGTAAGACAACTACCTGTCTGCTACGTACATGCTCTTCAGGACAGAGCGTTCATAAAGAGCTCATCAAATTGCCTGGCCTGTACAAGTCCTCAGTAAGTGTCGCTGTAATTACCATCATCATCAATGCAAATACAAGGGAGTACACGGTATATGGAGATCAATGCGGTGATCATCAACTGTTTATACGATACATAAAATAATTGGCCCAACAGCTCTTCTTCTAAAAACTACTCTACTCGTGTGAAAGGACATACTTATTATAAAGTCACAGCATTACTTATAATAGCAAAACATTAGAAGAAACAGTATTCTTCAGTAGAGGATTAACGAAGTTATTAAATAACTATGGTTCATTCTAACAGGGTTGCCAAAGAAGGAATGAGGGAGCTCTGTACAGTTGGCTATGGAACCATGTTCATGACATTTTACTAAGTAATAAAATAGAAATGCAGAAGTGTGACACATTATTTTTGTTACTAAAAGGGGGAACTCAGGCTAGGTACTTGGTTCAGCATTTAAGAGCCCTGTCACTCTAGCAGAGGACCCAGGTTTCATAACTCCGGTCCCAGGGGATCTTAACCCTGCTTCTGATGTCCACAGACACCAGGCACTCGTGTGATGCATGTATGTATATGTGTGTGTATATATATATATATATATATATATACATGCAGCCAAAACACTCAGACACACAAAGTATTTCTGAAAGGATATGTAAGAAATGCATACTTTTGGAGTTAACAACAAAGAATAAACAGTATGGGCAAGAATGAGAGAACATATTTTTAAGATACTAACCTAAATTTTGTTTACTTTACTTAATGCTAGAAAAATAAGTTCCACAGAATACCAGCTTTGCCTCAATAGAGTCTACTCTATCTACTGCAAAGCACTGCGGGGAGGGGGCAGAACATGTACATCGACTAAGGGAGAAAGAGGACGTTTCTCAAGAATTCCATTTAATTATGCCAGTGGTTCATGGATCTCTCCCTCCCCCATGCCCCACTCGAATACAAGGGGGAGCTAAGGACACAGGAAAAGGAAGGCCTGGGGTTGTGGGCGGTACTTAAAAAGGAAGAAGAAAAGAAAAGGCAGCCCAGGAGAGGCGGCAAGACAAGGGCCCATGTGTGCTCCACCACAGAGGGGCTCGCTCCTCCACACCTAACTTAAGCGCTGGCCTCTCCTCTGCCAACTCCCCATTATTAAAAAGAAAAGGCTGAAAGGTAAAGGAAGAAGTATGGCCTTTTATGGAGAGCCACTGGTAGCAAAAGTCCATGGAGTATATACAGCAGTGACAACTAGAGTTCAGAAGGTCAACTTATCAGAACTAAGGGTTCTGTTAGAGGAAACCATCACGCAAGGCGTTATGGGATTACTGCCTTTTGAATGAACTGGTTGTCTCTAGTTGTAAACTTCTTGGGCAATAACAGCCATGATTCTCCCCATTTACCCTGCCATCTCCACGTTATGTGTACATGTAATCTCACAATTGCATCTCATTCTTGGGCACGACTTTCCCTATACATTTGGAGTAATTGGATAACTGTCCCCAGCTGTGTTTATTTTTATTAACATAAATCTGGCCAGGGCCATTCTCCAGACAAAAGTATTTCAGCAAAGAAACATTTTTCCAAGGACAAAACTGCATATAGATAAACATTAGCTCATCACACCCACAGATAGAGAAAAAGAACCACTAACAATTAAATCCTAAACTCCTTACCTTCACCCTGGGTTATTTACATAACACTCTAATTTAAGAGATTTACTGCTCACATTCCTGGGATGATGTTTTAGCCATTTGCTAGTTACTGAGTTAAGGTAGTTACTTCCCACTGACCCAAAGAGATTGTCAAGGCCAGGCAGGTGACAGGTGCCAAGCTTCTTCCTTGTGCAAATTAAGTTTTAGTTCCTCCTCAGCCAGGTGCTGTTCCCAGATTCCCTAATTGATCTTAGCCTTTAGTTGACCCTACCAGAGAACTCCCCTTTAGTCACTCCCCTTTTGGGTTGTAATTGGAAGCTGACATTTATTGCTTTATGTGTGGATCCTTATCACCTCTCTCTATGACCCTGAAAACTTCAAGCCTCGCATTGCTTTACCAAAGAATTACTGTGTGGGTCTATATACTGGTTCTCCGAGAGCACTGGGAGGATTGATGGAGAAGAACAAAGATGAGGACGGAGATGGAAAGAACTAGATAGAGATGGGAGAACAGCAGAAGGGACTGAGAACAGGAGGGACTGAAAGGAGCTAACTATGAGAACATAAAAGAAACTGTGTGGATAGACTTGACTTAGAAGAATAAAGTGAATAGACTAAAGAACTCAGTGTGCTTAAGATTCATTTTATATCCCTCAGATTAGAATCCTTAGTCATTGTGCATCTGTTCTGGACTCTGATAGAAGTCTCCTCAAGGCAGGCACTTGGGGGAGTTTGGTAGCCTTTGATATTTTTCCAGTTCATGTTTGTAATTATAACCTTACCTCAATTTTTTTCAACACATCTGCAGAATTAGTGAGTGAAGGACCTCTGTCTGCAGCTTTGGCCGTTTTGGATTTCGGATCCGCTGCAACGAAACAACCAGCTGTTAACCGATATTCCAGAGGAACAGCTGGGTCCCCGAGCTCTCCCCCTACCAGGCACCTATGTTATTTCGTAAATTAAGCTCCTCCCACAAAATCACCGCACCTCACCGAGCTGGAAACAAATATAATCACTTCACACGATACTTTTAACGACTACAACCAGGTATATGTTAACCAAGTACTGAAACATCAGTCTCACAATTAATATCATTAGAGAGAAAATCTGCTATAAGGTGATGTCAGACTGAAGTGCCAGAATAACAAGTAGAGGTCCTGCCAGGGCTTCTCCATCACGCCTCAGGGGAGTCCACGTAACCGAGCCAGCACCTAGCAGCTGTGAAGTGAACAGAGCTTGTGCTCGATGGGCACGAGACCTGTCTTCACAGGGAAGATCAAAATGCTTTACTTGCCACCTCACATACGCGAAAGGAAATGTTTCAACAGCTTTAGGACCTGTAATTGGTTTACTCAAAGCAAAATATTTCATTTTCGGGTTATTCTAAAACAGCAGGGAATAGAGGATTATTTCATATAAGAATCTGCCAGTACCAACAAGTTTTTATAAACTATAAATTTTTTTTTCATGATGAAGAGGAATGATCACAGTTCTTTGGCGAAATCAAACAACTGTCAATGAGATTAATTCAAGAAAATAGAAGGTTCAAAAACGTCAATAGCAACCAAGCTCCAGTAAAATAATGCAAATGCCAGACATTATTCAGGAAAAAGATTCTACAATACTGAGGATAACTTCAGGCTGACTTCTGCATTGACAGAGTTTCAGCAGTAATCGTTTCCACCCTGGACAACAGTCGAGTTGGTCAACGTACCTTTTTTGCGCTTTTTCCTTGGCATTATCTCTCTTGGAAGTCTTCTCCAGTCTGTGTGTACAAAAGAAAGAGTAGAAAAGTCTTAGTGTCCTTGGTGGCTCTGGACCTAATTCAGAACACCATGGCAGCTGCTCATGCAAAGACTGCAGCATCTCTTAGTGTCTGATTGTACAGCCTGGAACCCAACAAACACAGAGAGAATGCGCAGTGTCTCCTGCAAAGAAAGAGAGCTCATCAAACTGCAATAAAAGAGAAATGTTGCAATACAGTGTCATGGAAAGAAGTCTTCTGGAAATTCCTTATGGATGTCAAGATCAGGATGACAACTGTTTCTGTTAAATATTATTTGGCTACTTTGTATTTTGTAAGTTGTCTGTTGCTATATATTATGTAACAATGTTTTTCAAAAGTTAAGGGATGTAATCAAACCCAATATATATAACATAAAATAATTTCAATAATTATTTGAAAAATTTCAATTAAAAATATTAGTAGTTGTGAATATGTAAATTCTCTCCAATAAATGACTTTCAGTTGCACTAACTAAACAATTCCTTGAATTATTTACTTTCTTTTAATTTGTGGAGGGTTCTAGGAATTGAACTTGGGGTCTCATAGGGCCTCATATATGCTAGGCAAGCATTCTAAAATCCTTGCCCCCATTTTTAGTTTTTAATAATACAGATAATATAAAACTGAAACTATGTAAATACAGATTGAAAGGGGCCAGAGGGATGGCTCGGTGGTAAGAGCACTTCCTGTTTTTCCAGAGGACCTGAGTTTAGTCTCCAGCTCCCATGTTAGGGGGCTACAGCCATATGTAACCCCAGCTCCAGGAGATCTGATGCCCTCTTCTGGCCTCCTAAGGCACCTATACACATGTGGTGTAAACACACACACATACACATGTGCACACAACACAAACACATAAATTAAAAAATTTAAAATATTCAAAAAAGATTTAAAGATATTGGCTGGTAATAAAGGAATGCCAGTGTTCTTTGTGCAAACGTTCATCATTTTACCCGCAGTGATAAATTTTGCTTTGAATATATTTTAGTTTCAAAGTACTGAGATCACGAGAAAGCATGTAAAAAGAATGACTTGGGAGAGGGCCGCACCCTCATCCCACAGCATAAGATCAACCAGGAAGAGCAGGCACTCCACCCTGGGAAGGTGATGATGGAGCTGATGACGTCCGCCCATCTTCCGAAGGGCCGTTCCTATGACCATGGCTGTCAGAGACTCAAAAGGAGGACAGCCTGACGGACAGCTCCGCTTTCAAGAGACCTGATGGCTATTCCGTTTCTGTTTACAAAATAAACTGGTTGAATGATGCTTCCTCTAAAGCCGTCCTGTCGATTGTAATACTTCTGAATGCTAACACAAGCTGTTGGGTATGTTTCTATTAAAACAGTATGTGAGCAGCTAAAACTTACTGCCTATGTCTCCTCGAATAACAGAAAAGACTCACGAGCTTGATTAAAATATCCTTCAAGTTGGGCATTTACTTTCTCCTTAGAAAGTCTCAAATCCAGGGTTGGGGATGCACCTCAGTTGATAAGAGTATTCGCATACCACGGAGAAACCCTAAATTCAACATCCAGCACCACATAGGACTGGGTGTGATAAAGCAGGCCAGTGGGGGACACAGAAGGGTCAAAGGTCAGCCTAGGATACACAAGACCCTGTCAACAAAACAGAGCAAAAGCCTAAAATCTAAAAGAATGGCCTGGTGTAGCAGAGCACTACAGTCAGAGCACTCAGGAAGCTGAGGCAGGAGGATCAGGAGTTCTAGGCTGTCATGGACTATATACAGTAAATGGTGTCTCAACAAACAAACAAAAAGAAAACTCTAAAAATCAATCAGGAACATACATGTGTGTGTGTGTGTGTGTGTGTGTGTGTGTGTGTGTATACTACATATATAGCATATATTTTATACGTATAACATACACACTATCTCTCCTCTCTCTCTCTCTCTCTCTCTCTCTCTCTCTCTCTCTCTATATATATATATATATATATATATATATATACACAACTACAAAACACACTTTTAGACTTTTTTTTTGAGACAGGGTTTCTCTGTGTAGTTTTGGTGCCTTTCCTGGAACTCACTTTGTAGACCAGGCTGGCCTGGAACTCACGGAGATCCACCTGCCTCTGCCTCCTGAGTGCTGGGATCAAAGGCGTGAGCTGCCACCGCCCAGCCCAAGACATTCTTGTTACAGTATAAAAATCTTTTCTTAGTTTCTAAATGATTTTCATTACTAATTAATTACAGGAAGGAAAAGAAGACTCTACTTTCCTATAGTTTAAACAAAGAAAACACCTAAGAGCCTAATATATTTTTTGTGGTATGTGACGGAGAAGGTGGTCTTTAAGAAGCACTTTAAGGGGCTGGAGAGATGGCTCAGAGGTTCAGAGCACTTGCTTCCCATCAAAAGTTCAGTTTCAAGCCACAGCAGGGAGCTCACAACCACCCATGAGCTCCAGTGACACCAGCTCCAGGGGATCTCACTCCTGGTCTCCATGGTACCCTCACAAACATGGCCTAGACACACATGAACACATACATAAATAAAACTAAGATGAAGCTTTTTAAAAAGTATTTTAACATGGCCTGTTTTACAGTACCTGGTATCCATTCTTCTTTGTCTATCTTCATATATCTTTTACTATACCTTTCAATATCATCTAGGGGGGAAAAAGAAAAAAAGCACTCATCAGAAACATAAGAACACAAGCCATTCTTTAAAATAACTTAATCCCTAGATAACGTCTTTTATTCTCATATATTTCCTACATTTGTGTACAACGTATGTAATGGAACCACCGTTGACCAGCTCAGTTGGAGTAACACGGTTTCAAATACGGCAAGCGCAAGGGTGGGCTAACAGAAACATCAGCCTTGAACCTGTCTCAGAATGAGACAGCCCGCCTAGCCTGTGAGGACATCACAAAGGTTCAGAGTCAGGAAGCCACCTCCACACCAAGGTAGAGAGATCTACTCAGGGTTTTCTATGTTCTTGTGCAACTAGCCTCCAGTCTCCGATCTTTTAACTCAGTCTAACTGTGGTATATCAATACCTTAGTGGAACGGAGGGCTGATGGCTCACCTCTAGCAGTTCATATACACATAATCAGTTTGTGAGGTTCCTCAACGGGCAACTTTTCACAACTGGGAAGAAGAACAGAGGTAGGGAAGCTGAGTGTGGTGAGAGGTTACCTGTTTGGGGAATACAGTGTGTCAGCTGTAAGCCTTCTACAAACCACTGAAAGCTCTACAGATGTGGTGATGCGCGCAGGCTACACACAGATAGCACCTGAACGCGCCAGGATCAGCAGAGCCACGGCTGTGTCTTGCTTCTAGTTTGTCAGCTTTGCCAGGCAACCCTGATAAAACCCTTGCCCTTTCCACAAGCAACACAACTTGGAAAACAGAACCAAAGCACAGACATCTGAAAGCACGGCTCACCGTGAAAGGGGCTCAGATAGCAATCGAATGACTCGTCATGACATACTGCTACACCCATAGATCAGTGCCTCACTCCGCCACCATCAGAGAGGCTCTTCTTGAAGTCAATATATTAGCAGAGACCCATAACTGGACAATGTACAAATGGGAGAGACACACACACACACACACACACACACACACACACACACACACACACACACAGTGGAGCACTCAGTCCTGAATGGGATGTCTTTGGCAAACTCCTCCCCTCAGTCTCAAATAAAGATAAGGAAGAGGAGGCAGGACAATTGGAAGAACCAGAGGTGACGGATGACTCCAAGCAAACAGTGTCTTCCAGACAGAACAGGGCTGATGTACATACGGACTCACAGAGACTGAGGCTGCACACACAAGGTCTACACAGGTTCAAGACACATGGGGTTCCAGGCCCAAGAGTGGGAAGTGGACAGAGGATCCTGCCCTAACCAAGAAAATGTTTGCAATTGCTACCCACTGGCCAAGGGAGAAGTCAGTTTTCTCCTGTGGAGTCTCACTAGGTGTATCAACCACACTCCAAGGCAGGCCCATGCCCAGGAGTAGTTCACCAAAACAAAATGGACTCATTGGTACTTTTGTGTGCTTACAGTTTGGTTTTAACATTTCGGTCTTAGTGATCTTTCATCTGTTTGTTATGATTTTTCTTTTTGTGTCTTTGTGGGAGTTTTTTGTTTGTTTGTTTCTTGTCTTTTTTGTTTTGTTTTGGTTTGGTTTCTTGGTTGTGGAGGGGATTTGAGAGGGAGAAAGAGAAAGAACAAACTGGGGAAGGTAGAGAGGTAGGGAGGAGCTGGGAGGAGTTGGGGAAGAAGAAAACAATCAAAATATATCGTATAAAAATTTAATCTAAACAATCCAATTAAAAAATGGGGTACAGATCTAAACAGAAGTCTCAGTAGAAGAATCTCAAATGGTGAGATACATTTAAAGAAATGTTCAACATCCTTAGCCATCAGGGGAAATGCAAATTAACACAACTTTGAGATACCATCTTACACCAGTCAGAATGGCTAAGATCAAAAGCACTGATATTGGAGAGGATGTAGAGTAAGGGGAACACTCCTCAATCACTGGTGGGAGTGCAAACTTGTATAGCCACTTTGGAAATTGGTATGGTAGTTTCTCAGGAAATTGGGAATCAATCTACCTCAAGACCCAGCTGTACCACTCTTGAGTATATACCCAAAGGATGCTCAATCATACCACAAGCACATTACCCAACTATGTTCATAGCAGCTTTATTCATAATAGCCAGAATCTGGAAACAACCTAGATGCCCCTCAACCAAAAAATGGATAAAGAAAATGTGGTACATTTATTTACACAATGGAGTATTACTCAGCAGTTAAAAACAATGACATCAGGAAATCTGAAGGCAAATCATCCTGAGTGAAGTAACCCAGACCCAGAAAGACAAACATGGTATGTACTCATTCATAAACGGATATTAGCTATACAGTAAAGGATAACCATGCTACAATCTACAGCCCCAGAGAAGCTAGGTAGCAATGAGGGCCTAAGCAGGGATGGGGACTCATAGATTTCCCTAGGAAGGGGAAATAGAAGAGATCTCCTGGGTAGAATTGGGGCAAGTGGGGATCTGGTTCAGGAGTAGATGAAGTAGGGGAGTACCGAAAGAGATGTCTTGATATGGGGGGCATTTTGGGGTCTGGCAGAAACTTAGTGCAAGGGAAACTCCCACAAATCTACAATGAGACCCCAGCTAAGACTCCTAGCAGTAATGGATATGTAGCCTGAACTGGCCATCTCCTGTAATCAGATTAGTGACTACTCTAACTGTCATCAGAGAGCCTTTATCCAGTAACTGATGGAAACAGATGCAGAGTCCACAGCCAAGCACTGGGCCGAGCTCCGGGAGTCCAGTTGAAGAGAGGTAGGAAAAAGTTTATGAGCCGGGGGGGGGGGGGGGGGGGGGGGGGGGGGGGGGGGGGGGGTGGGGGGGGGTGGGGGGGGGGGTGTCAAGGTCATTACAAGAGAACCCACAGAAACAACCAACCTGGGCTCATAGGAGCTCACTGACTCTGTGTGACAACTGTGCAGCGTGGTCCCGTCTCATGACTTCAGAATTCAAACACATATTTTAATGAGTTTAAATGTATTGCTTGTGGTTCTTTTCTCATGTTTACATCATCTAAATGATTCCAGATGGATTTCTGATAGATTCTGCAAAATCATCACCTGTATTTTTAGCTCTTATACTTCCATAATTAAAATTCAGTATTTAAAAAAAAAATACTTCATGAGGCCGGGGACGCTTAGGGGTACGACACTTGCCCAGCATATGCAAGACCCAGAGTTTGTTCTTTAGTTTGTAAAACCTGAGACAAGTAAATGAATAAAATAAAATAAAAAACTGGCAGCCAGGCGGTGGTGGTGCATGCCTTTAATCCCAACACTCGGGAGGCAGAGGCAGGTGGATCTCTGAGTTTGAGGCCAGCCTGGGCTACAAAGTGAGTTCCAGGACAGCAAGGACTATTGCACAAAGAATCCTGTCTCAAAAAACCAACAAAATAAAACAAAACAAAACTTTGATGACTCACACTTTTGCTGAATAGGAATGGCTTGTCTCCTGTTTTTCTTTTTTTTTTTTTACATAAAATGACAAGCATGAGTGACCAGTAATTTTTAAAATTCTATATAATCTACTTCTGTTTGCACACTGTCTCTGTCTTTGGTTTGGCTTCAGTATTTCTCCATTTACAAATCATAGAGGATAAATTTCAGTGCATAAATATCAAAAATAAAAAAACATGGTCACATGTATTTTAGCAAACAAGGTATCAAATTACTATAAATTTTCTGATGATATCCTTCTCAAAGATTTACTGCATAAGGAAGGCATACTTTCTTTTTAATTCCTAAGAATTAAATTTGTATATTCATTGATTTTTATATCTGAGATAATCCACCCAAGGTCTTGTTATCTGGGGACTCAGTCACTTTGATCATACACTTTGCCTACCATCAGGGGGTAAGGAGCTTCCACCCCTCTGTGCATTTATTTATTTATTTATTTATTTATTCTGATTCATGACTAATTATTGTAAAACATCTTCCTCTGTAACTTTTCTTCCTTTGGCATTTTACAAGGAGAAAGCAAAATTTTGAATTCTAAATGTTATTCAATGAGTGTTAAAATAAAAAGATGAAAGTTTCTGCAAACATTTCATATTTTCTTAAAAACTGATGTAAGTCAGATATGGTGGTGCATATCTTTAATTCCAGAACTTGGAAGGAAGAGGTAGGTAGAGTTCTGTGGTTTGAGGCCATCTTGGTCAACACAGTAAGTTCCAAGGATATCAGAGATACATAGCGAGACCCTATTTCAAACAAACAAACATAACAAAATGCACAAAAATAATCTCTGATGTAATAGTTTGGTTGACATAAAAGGAAAACTAGCCGGGCAGCGATGGCGCACGCCTTTAATCCCAGCACTTGGGAGGCAGAGCCAGGCGGATCTCTGTGAGTTCCAGGCCAGCCTGGTCTACAAAGTGAGTTCCAGGAAAGGCGCAAAACTACAGAGAGAAACCCTGTCTTGAAAAACCAAAAAAAAAAAAAAAAAGGAAAACTAAGAGATGCATGCTGTGGGATAATCCTGTACACTGTGTAAATTACGCTGTGATTGGCCAATAGCTGACTGGCCAATAGCTGGACAGTATAAGGTTACGCTGGAAAACCAGACTTGGGCACTGGGAAGAAGGGCAGAGTCAGAGGAGACACAGAGAGGAAACAGGGGGTGCAAGATGAAAGAGAGGTAACGCCATGTGGCAGGATGTAGATAACAGAAATGGGTTAACTTAAATTATAAGAGATAAATAGTAATAAACCTGAGCTATTGGCTGAGCATTTATAATTAATATTAAGTCTCCACATCGGCTATTTGGGAACTGGTGGGTGGGAAAGAAAAGTCTGTCTACAGATGCACAGTATGCTGTATGACTCATGCCTTTGTCCAGCATGCCTATGTCACACGTCAGTTATCAACGACAGTACCACAGTGTTGGTACACAGAGTTAGGTACTATCTGTGGTTCAGGCATCCTTTGTGGGTATGTCCTGGAACATATTACCCATGAATAGAGAGAGGAGGCTGCTGTGCTGTGTGTGTTCCTACACATACATATGAATGCATGCACCTTATTTAAAACTATTTGAACCACAGTGCTTTTTAAAACATACATCAGGAAAGAGGAACGGATAGGACGATGTGAAGAGTTTCTACTTCTATCAGTTTGGAAAATCCTATATATAAGAATTTTCATATGAGATTAAGCAAGTAAGCACATATCTTTTTATATTTTATTACATAGTTACTAAGGACAAAGTACTCCCTTGATCCTGATTCAAACCATTTACTCCCACAGACTAATAACCAGTTCCTAATGACTGTGGTGGTTTGAGTGATAGGCCCACGTGTTTGAAGGCTCGGTCTCCAGTTAGTGGAACTCTGCAAAGGATGAGGAGTTGTGGCCTAGCTGGAGGAGGAGGTGTATCACTGGGGGTGGGCTCTGAGGTTTCAAAAGCCCACTCCAGCTCTCCCTCTGCCTGCAACTTTCAGATCAGATGTGAGCTCTCAGCTACTACTCCAGCACCATGTCTGCCTGCCACCATACTGATCATGACCTAACTCTCTGAATCTGTAAGCAAACCCCCAAAATTAAATGTTTTCTCATAAAAGTTGCCTTGCTCCTGGTGTGTCTCCTCACAGCAATAGAATAGTAACTAAAACAATGACCCTACCTAAAACACTCACGTAACTGCTTGAATGAGCTGATACTTTTCAGTTAGACATGCATTTTAATAAACACATTCCATTAGCTCAACAAGTCTCCTATCTAAAGAAAAATCAGATTTTAATAGGATTAAAGTATACCATGTATGGTTGATTTTTAAAATAAAAATAGGTATTTATTAGTTCTTTTTAAAAATATATAAAATTTTATTTTATTTTTAAAACCAGACAAAAATATGCAACAGAATCAAGAAAGTAAAAAAAAAACCTCTATTATTGAGGTAAAATTAATCAAACCATTATATACGCTCAAACAGATAAGTCATCAAGATTAAACCTGTTCAACATGCTTGTTATAAACACATGTAATAACATCATCTATACACTTCCTTTTTTTTTTTTTTTTTTTGGTTTTTCGAGACAGGGTTTCTCTGTGTAGCTTTGCGCCTTTCCTGGGACTCACTTGGTAGCCCAGGCTGGCCTCGAACTCACAGAGATGCGCCTGGCTCTGCCTCCCGAGTGCTGGGATTAAAGGCGTGCACCACCACTGCCCAGCATCCTTTTTGACGCAGCCAATGTATGTCTCTTAGAAAGAAAAAAAAAGAACAGCTTTAATACTAATGGCACGAGCCGATACTATACAAATTTCTCATGTTTTAATGATGCTGTTTTAAGAACTCAAAGATGATATTGATCTCTCTAACAATCAATACATTTTTATTGTACTTAAGAACTGCTCATGAGAGGCTCACTTCCTCTAAAACCACTTCTCCTTCCAGCCGGGGACGGCCAACCCTTCTCAAAGTGTAATTCTTCCTCTGCCTCAACATCAAGAATAAACACATACTTTATATTTTATGTCATCCGAATATAAGGAATAAACTGAAAATCAGGGTTTTTGATGTTTTTTAGCCTAAACTGTCAGCAATCAGGGCATCCAGTAAAAGGTTATGTATAGTGGCAATAATCACAGCATTGCATACCTAAGAAAAAAAAATGGAAAAAGCACTCTATTCATCAGCAGGAAATTAGTGATAATTAGTGTTTTATCCACATAATGGAATAACATAACCATAAGGTTATATCTTCTAAGACTACTAAGAATATTTTAAAAGACTAATATATTATTGCATTATAAAGGGAAGATACAAAGTATGAGTAAGCTTGCAAAGAGAAACTCATGGAAGAAAAAGATACAATAAAATATGAATGTTTGTCCTTTTGACATTTCTGATAAGTAATTTTCTCAAGCTGGTTGCATACCCTGCCTCATCTGTTAGCACCAAGCTGCCTCACGAAGAGCCCAATACACACCTTGTTTCTCTTCAGGGGTCTCAATAAAATAAGGCATTCGCTTCACTGTCTCCCTCAGCTCCTGCTTCAAGGCCAGCATGTAATCCTCATCTTCTCCTGTTTTCAGGGGCACTGGCTTGTAATCGGTGTCCTAGTTACATTAAGAGACAAAGTCTGTTTAAATAAATTGAGAATTTGGGTATTTCTTTTATCCACATTCTAGACAATGATGCTTTTATGGAAAGATTATGCCGCATGAGCACTCAACTTGACAATCAACTCAAAAGCTACTGATCTTCCAGACAGGTAAGGTTGCCCACTCCTGTAATCTCAGCGCTTGGGAGGCTATGGCTCCCAACTCAAAGCTTCCAACTCAGGGCCATCCTGGGGTATAGAGTGAGTTCCAGGACAGCACAGGCTGCAATGTAAAACTGTCTAAAAATTTTAAAGAAAATAAAATGATAAAGATGTTGAACTTCTATAATCTAACTTTTTAGCCCATTTCCTTCTTTACTCTCATTTTAGAGGTGGGAAAAAGATTCCACACATACAATATTTATATGCATGTGCTGTATGAATATATGATCATATGTGTATATTCATTAAGAAGTGGGCTCCCAGCATACATGGCAAAGATGCATATGGTTGGAGAGGGTACAGATACAGTATATTTCCAAAGGTGGGTTCTGAATCTACTTAGGCATTCAAAACTATTTCTTGAGCAACTACTGTGTACTAGGCAACAGAACTTACATCCTGAGGATGTAGGTAGGAGAAGGAAGGTACTACAGAGGGAGAGGGAGGAAGGAGAGATAAATCACACCAAGGATGTGTACAAAAGCCATAGGGAACATTATTTATAAGCTTGTGTATATGTGTGTGTGTGTGTGTGTGTGTGTGTGTGTGTGTGTGTGTGTGTGTTCATATATATAGCTTAAACAGAGTTACAGTATGCAGGATAATAATGCTCCCCACAAGAGCACTAGCCTAAAAAAATTCTAGTGTCATGTGTGGGTTGAGTCACTGGTCAGGGTGTCCAAGACACTCCCAAAACAATACAGGCTATAGTCACTGCCCCTCACTGCCTCCCACAGGGTATAGCCACTGCCCCTCAATGCCTCCCCCAGGCTATTGCCACTGCCCCTCACTGCCTCCCACAGGGTATAGCCACTGCCCCTCAATGCCTCCCACAGGGCATAGCCACTGCCCTTCACTGCCTCCCAGAGCTTTAAGACGCTAAAGACACCACCTGGAAGCCTCCTCCCTGTGGGTTTGCTCCTGTGGAGCTGGAGGGTGCTGTGGGAACTGCCAAAGGAGAAAAGCAGTCAGGAGTCCCACCCAGCTGTACAGTCTATGAGCAACAATGACTGACCCAGTGGCAGAGTATCCCCAATGGTGCAATGGCGGCACTTCTAACTTGGGGGTAGTCAATAACTGTCCACCTGGATGTAAGGCCCACTCAAAAGGAGATTCATCCCTGATACTGCAAACCCAGCCAGCTACTCACGGCTGAAGAGGTTCTAGACCCCAGGGAAAACCTACTACTACCAGCTCCCTAGACAAATACAATTCCTAACTGTATTCTAATTACAATTATCCTTATACCCACAGGTAAATGTAGCTCTCCTCACAGAAGCTCCTTTCTGCAGCCCACAGAGGTGCTTACAAAGACCCACAACTGGCCAAAATGTAGCGTAAGAGACGGTGGGGTGCCCTTTTGGTACATCAAGAACACAACCTCTACACCCAGCCTCAGAGGCCATCACAAAAGCGTGGAATGATGCAAGGGGCAGAAGAGCTGAACACCTGAAGTGAGACAGCGTCTTCTGCACACATAGAAGTCGATCCCTGAAATCACAAGTATGGCTGTCACAACAGATTTGCATAATGACAACAGCAGGTGACGTGCCCAGGTGGGTGGGGAATTCCAAAGCCCCGCCCCCGGCTCTAGATAAAGAGCTACAGTCAACCAATTGCTGCAGAGGGGAAAGGTTTTCTCCAAAAACAAGTTCCCCGCGACGTTGTCTAATGTCTCACATTCAGAGCCAACACATGTACACATGAGCAACACTAAATGGGCCCAGTAGGCTGCGTGTGGGGGTATACATGTTACATACACATTACTGCACATATAAAGTGTACATATGTAATAACAATAATTATAAAAGAGGTCGTGAGTTTGAAAGGGAGTGAGGAGAACATGAGAGGAGTTGGAGGAGTGAAAATGATTTAAGTACAGTATTCCTGCATAAAATTCTCAAAACATCCAAAATATATAATTTTTTTAAAAAAATATAATTTCTTTATGTGAGTGTCTAGAACAAGGATTCATCTGTCCAGGGTTCTCTACGGCCACAAGTCCTTCAACAAAGGACTTCTTCATCTGAAATAGGAACAGTGAATGCAGGGAATTAATTCAGAGGACCTTGTATCCATGATCAGCTTTGAGCAGCAGCATATACCCATCCGGAAATGTAAGCTACTGTTTTCAATTGAAACATCAGCCTTATGTCCATAAGTTTAGAAGCAATCCCTAATGTAGCAGAAATGTTTCTGTTCTGAAAAATTAACAAAATCCGAAGGGACTGAGCAATAAACTTGAATGAGACAGAAGTGGTATAAGGAGCAAAACTATTTTCTATAAATATAAAATATGAAGAAAATCACTGGGTACATCAGGGGACATCATAAAGCTACTTAAAATATTATTTTGGCAATCAGAATACATTAATAACATCAGTAGAAGACACAAGGATTTCAAATAATTCTTAGTTCACACAGTACTTGTTTGTAGAAAGGCATATATAGTTCTGTTCTCTGTATTTTAAGAAATCAGTCTGAAAACTCAGGCAGATTCTGAAAATAACCAGTTGTTTGAGAACAAGGTAGAGGCCACATGGTCTTTTATTCTTAGACATGAGGATATCTTGATAGAACCATGTATTCAAGCCCTAAACCCCGAAACCATGCAGAAATACATTATGAAAACTGAGCTGTCAGGAACTTACAGGGAACAGCGGTGGGGGCTTCAGCACAACATCAGGCAACTTATCCCCGCGGCTGAAGCCAACAGCCTCAATATTAAAGGTATAGGTAGAACGTCCTCTTCCTTTATTACCAGCCATCGGAACCGACTGCAGCAGGAGTGTGGACAATCCCTGGAAGACAGGGTTAAACGGTAAGACTTCCTGAATCACACACCAGAGAAAACAAGCATTTTAAAGCAAAATGTACAGCCTTTATATAGCGTGGTTGATTTAAAATACTTTTTGAACTGGGTTCAGGGATCTAGGCAGAAGAGTAAGCAGAAAGATTAGAAGAGCCCACGGGGATGGATGACTCCAAGGAAAAAGTGTTTTTCAGGCACAACAGGACTGATGAAAATATGAACTCAGAGAGACTGTAGCAGCACACACAGGGCCTGCACAGGTTCAAACTAGACAGAGTCCCAGCACGGAGAGAGGGAAGAAGACACAAGCTTCACTCGTAACAAAGAAACCAAGTAGATGGGGGGGTGGGGCACGCCTAACCAGGAACTCATTGAAACAATACATTTGATACAAGCTTGCAAAGGAAAAATTAGTTTTCTCCAATGGAGTCTCACTAGATACATTACCAACAAATACTCCTGGGCTCCATGTCCAGGAGTAGCTGGACAACACTAAATGAACTCAATGGTAATATTTTTTTTAAAGAATATTTGTTTCATATTGCTTTGTGGAATTTGTTTAACTGGTTTTTGCTTGCATATTTGGTTTCTGTTTTTGTGAAGGGTTTTGTGTGTGTGCTTCTTGTTTTTGTTTTCTTTAAAGAGAGAGAGAGAGCCAGGGCAGTGCGTCTTTAATCCCAGCACTTGGGAGGCAGAGTCAGGCAGATCCCTGTGAGTTCCAGGCCAGCCTGGTCTACAGAGTGAGATCTAAGACAGACAGGACTGCATAGTGAAACCCTGTCTCGAAAAAGAGAGAGAGAGAAAGAAAGGGCGTGGAGTTGGGTGTGTGGAGAGGATCTAGCAGGAGCTGGAGGAGAAGAAAGTGTCATTAGAATATATTGTATGAAAAAAATTTAATTAAAAAGAAATGTGATCAAGACAGTAAACTGTTAACATGCCATCACTATGTAGAGATGAAGATGAAAGGCACTCCTTCACCCAGGTCCTCAGGACAGAGCTGACTCTGTCTTCTTTGAGATGCTGCTTGAAATACTCAGCCAACTGACAGAATTCCCCCCCTCTCTATGGCTTGATAACTGGATCTCAGATAAAGAGGAGGAGGAGGAGGAGGAGGAGGAGGAGGAGGAGGAGGAGGAGGAGGAAGAGAAGGAGTGTGTGTGTGTGTGTGTGTGTGTGTGTGTGTGTGTGTGTGTGTGTGGTGCATTCTCCTAAGAAGGCATGTGTGGAGAAGGAGGTTGACATCACCACTGGACATCTCACTTAACTGCTTCTCTACCTTATTTGAAACAAGATCTCTCACAGAACCTGAGCTTGAGACTGGCTAGTCTATAAATTCCAATGATCTACTTTTCTCCATTCCCCAGCATTGAGGTGAGAGACATGTACCACTACCATGCAAAGGCCAGATTCTTAAACTGTGGGTTATGATCTTGTATGGGATTGTAGAACTGTGGGTGTCCAAAAAACTTGGCAATAATAAAAGGTTTCTGAATGAACAACCAAAAATTTATTAAAAATGCAATATGTAATAAGCCCTCGCCTGCAGGGGTATCACTGCAGCCTTGTTACTGAAGTGTGGCACAAGTCCTAATTAGTCTTAGAATTAAAACCTGGAGCCAGGTATTGGGGTGAATGCTGAAAGATCAGAGGAAACAAGCCACAGCCACTTCTCACCTCACCAACTCCTCAGCCAAAAGGGAAGATCCTGTCTCCATGAATCCTCAGACTGAACGCCGGAGTCCTCAGCCGAAAGGGCTTGCATTCCTGTCTCCTCCCGCCTTATATACCTTTCTCCACCCAGCCATATCATTTCCTGTCTCAACCTTCTTAGTGCTGGGATTAATGGCGAGTGCCTCCCAAATACAAGGAGCAAAGGCATGAGATGAGTGACAGGATTAAAGGTGTGTGCCACCACTGCCTGACCTCTGTGTTTAATCTAGTGGCGGCTCTGTCCTCTGGTCTTCAGGCAAATTCTGTTTGTTCGAGTACAAACAAACTATCACCACACTGAAGGAAAACCACACGCTGGGCATCCTGCAGGCCCTCCCACCACACAATGCAGGCAGTCACTGCCGGGGACACCTCAGCTCAGACTCAGAACTACTGTGTGTCATAAACTGCAGTGAGTCTTTTGCTTTTCTACTTCTATAAAGCCAAATACTTTCAATATTTTACAAAGACTTCTACTTTTTTCCAAGTCATCCTTCAGCATGCATCAAAAAACAGTAGATGGCATTGCTAAGAAGTTTGATTTTAAAAACTGCTATTTGAATGGCTGACTGACTCGAGTTTCATAAAAACTTGTTTAGCCGGGAGGTGGTGGCGAACACCTTTAATCCCAGCACTTGGAAGGCAGATCCAGGTGGATCTCTGTGAGTTCGAGGCCAGCCTGGTCTACAGAAAAAGTTCCAGGAAAGGTGCAAAGCTACACGGAAAAACCCTGTCTCAAAAAACAAAAAAAAAACAAAACAAAACAAAAAAAAAACCCCAAACAAACAAACAAACAAAAACCTTGTTTAATGGGTCTAGGCTTGCGATTAAGACAGAATTTCCAATAATTTCAGAAAAGGCTCTAAGACATTTCTGCCAGTTTGTTTTCCATGTGTAAAACAGTTCTTTAAGCACTGATTATAAAATTAAACTACGGGGAAAACTCTGAAAATCTCTGAAGATGCTTTATATCCTGCAATATCAAATACTCAGCAAAATTTAGTTCTTAATTTATAGTAAGTCATATTTGTTTCATTCTTAATGAATGGCAAAAATATACGTATGCCAAGTGTTTCAAAATGAATTTATGATTACCAGTAACTGTGTAATATGTATACATATGTTTACATACCTATATACCTGGGGTTGTTTGAATTTATGATTTCCAGTAAGTGTATAATATGTATACATATGTTTACACACCTCTACACCCAGGGTTGTGTAAAATTTCTCAGGTAAACAGGGGTCAATGAGTGGGAGAAGTTTAGGGGACCCTGCTCTACAGCATGAGAACTGGGGTGGCTCTTTCTGTGGAATTCCATGTTCAGCAGTGGTGACTATGAAAATGTATATTCCTGCCACTGTCTTACTGCTGATATAACAGTGACTAGCACTTAACCCGGAGTGCCGGGGGAGTGATTTGACCTCTTAACCACAGAAGAATGGAGGAACTTTCACTTCTGCCTGCCTAACGCAATCTCCTTTCTCACGATCACATGGGCAACAGTATCTCACACAGATGCCGACTTCAAACCAGGTCTCTTGTCAGGAGGCAAAGACTATTAATGTCAGTCCTGTTGTTTTTGTGATATTAATGATAAGGGAAGGCCTCCAAAAATAAACAAGGGACTAGCTACTTCTTTGTATAGTCTGATTATAATAGGATAACCTGGTCCAAAAGCCTGGAAATCTAAGCTTCCTTCCTCATGGGGCCAACATAAACACAATTTTCAACCCTAGCAGTCACTTTCTAAGGACTTGGGTAGCTGAGAAATCCAGAGCAATAGTTTCTGAACAGTGCCGTAGACAGCGGCCTCCTTTAGGTAACTGTTGAAACTGAAAACTGCGGGGTCCTACGAAGAAAAAGAAAAGGGAGGGAAAGAGCGAGAAGGAGGAACAAGAGGGAGGTGAGAGGGAGGTAGTCACACCTCTAGGGGGAGGCTGCTGTTGGGAGTTTGTATTCTAAGAAGGACTCTGGGTAGTTCTGACGCATGGGAAAGGTTGTCAGTCACTGAAACCATCACTCAAGATTACTTGGCATGGGGATTAGGTAAGAGTGGTCTGAAAATCTTTCTAGATGACTATCCTACAGAACACACATTGAGACTACGGAGAGGATGCTCTAGCAGTTCAGTCAAAACATGGCTAAGCATGTCCGTAAGGCCCACCTCTGAGGCTTGAAATTTTATTAATTATCCTCAGTGACTTTTGTTTTTAAACAGCGTTAATGAAATGACTGTGAACTGTCACGCATCTACAACACAGGATGCTGTAGATCAACCTGTGAGTTCATTTACAGGGAATAAGCAGTACCATATCACTGCACTTTTCGAGGCTCTGTGGCTGTCAATGTTAATGATCTCATATGTCTAGGGCTCTAGCTACACACAGAAAAATCCAATCAGTGGTGAGATACTGTTTCCTCTCTTCTGTGAATCACTCAATCAGCACAGCCTTTGACTTACTGTAATGGCTGATGCCCAAAACACTTTCAGTAACAATTGTACATTATACACTTTGTAAATTCATCATTATACATCTGTCATCTACATATTTGACATTTTCCTACATGAGCGCCTGAACATTAAGAAATGATTATATAATCCTGTTACTGGCACTGCAAAGCATAACTGTGGTCTTTTTACTTCAACTGACTTTTCCGGTACTACGTACATACACACCAGCAGGGCACACAGATCAATTGACTCCCATGTACCTACCAACCATCCCGCTTCAATAGTTATCAATATATGACTAATTCCTTTTTTTTTTATGCTCTCCTAGTCCTGTGACTCAGGTTATTCAAAACTCTTCATTACATATATTCTCTGAGAACTAAAGGAGAAAAAAAAACAATACAACGAAACCACTGTGGAAATCAATGTGGAGATCTCTCAAAAGAACTATAGTATGCACCAGTTACAGCCTCCTAGGCACACACCCAAAGAACTATCACAGAGATACTTGCACATCCATACTTATGCCATATCTAGTCACAGTAGCAAGAACACAGAATTAGCCCAAATGTCCATCAAGAGCCTGCTGTCCATCCACAATGGATAATGAAAATGCAGTACATATGCACAATGGAAATATATTCAGCCACAAAGAGAAATAAAATTATAAAATTTGAGGGAAATGTATAGCACTGGAAAATACTTCTATTAACTGAGGTAGCCAAGGATTGAAAAGATCAATACTGTCTATACTCTCATGTGCAGATCATGGCTTCTGATTTTCGATATATGTGTATTTATGTGATAGTAAGTAGTCAGGTCA